GATGATCAGACACAGGTCTTGGCACAGGGCCTGGCATCTTCAGGGGTCTCACAAGGGGACCCTGGGCCCTTAGCACAAAGAGATGTGCTGAAGAAACAGGGCTGGGGCTGTTTGACCTGTGACCTTGCAAGGGAAAGCATGTGGTTGGCAGAATGTGAGTGAGGATACAGGGGTGGGGGCAGCGGGTGAGGCTGGGCCCAGGGGATCACCTGAGTGGTCCCAGGCAGGTGGGCGGGAGGAGGGGCCAATCAGGAAGACCGACCCCCAACGGATGCCAGCAGGATCACTCCCTTGCCCCCCTCGAGAGTCATGGCCAGGATTTGGGGAGATGATGGCCAAGAACACTTGGTGGAGTCATTGTACAAATCAGATGGAAGAAGGAGGCCTCATCAAAGCCAAGGCCTGACCTCAGAAAGATCTGCCTGCACACAGAACAGCAAGGTGCTGCATTTGTAAGCTCGGAATCTGGAGTCTTGCAGAGCTGGGCTCCACCATTCCTGAGCCGTGTGATGACGGACAAGGCTCCCCACTCTTTGGACTGCAGTCTCCTCCCCCATAGTATGAGGATAATGCCAGGATCCGTCTCACAGGGTTGTTATGACCGTTAAATGAGATAAGGCAAGTACAAAATTAAGATCCCTGCCGGGCACTAAGAAAGCATGCAATAAACAAAAGCCGTTTTAACTTTATTACATGCTGTGATATGAAGTGAGCCTCCCAGCTCCTGGGGTATGTAAGGGTGAGGAGGGCCTGGAGAAGCTGGGGTCAAGCCCCAAAAGAGGGATCATGTCTCAGCAGGCACAAATGAAGAGAGGAGGCAGGAAAGGATAAATGTACAATGACAGAGGTTGCATTTGGGCCAGAGAGTTGGGCCTTGGGCCCTTGGGGAGCCAAGATGGAGGAGTGAGGGGACAAAAGACACAACCAGCCCCCAGGCTCAGAGCTGTTCCCAAGCTGGCCAGCCCGCGGGGCACTCGGCAGGTCTCAGTGAGGCCAGGGGCCCCATGGAGCGGTTCCGGCCCCTGCCCTTCCCCGGGGTGGCACGTGGTCCCTTCCCTAGCCCATCACTCCCAACGGGGAGGTGGCTGTGTCACACCAGCACCCTCCTCAACTATGTCACCATCTTCCTGGGGGCCACAGCCCTGGGCTCCACACCTAGTTCTATGAAGGTGCCTCTGGGCCTCAGGGTCCTCATCCAGAACCCAGGGGGTGGGTTATCAGCTGCTGATATCACCTCAGGAGGCTGCGAGGAGGGATCACACAGCAGCCGAGATACAAGGCCATGCAAACGGGGTTTGTGCAGACGTGGGGAAGGGGCTGCCCAGCTCAGGAGAAAACATCCACCAAGTCCCTAGCGCCTGGGCAGGGTCTGGCATGTGGCTGGACCCCGGGAAAAACTCAGACAAAAACATGAAGAAAAGTGTTGAAACCTCCCATGAGTACAGGTATGGGCATTTCAGGTCTCCTGACGTGTCAGGCAGCAAGGGCAGGATTAGCCCTACCTGACAGAGGGGGAAACTGAGGCCCTGGGAGGTACCCAGAGTCATGCAACCAGCTTGTTGCTGAGCCGGGAATAGAGCCTGTCTCCCACTACCCTCAAAAGGGCTCTGGGCCCCAGGGCACCTCAACAAGCCAGGCTCCTCAACCACCTGGGGGCTCGGTGAGGGCTGGGAGCACGTGCCATTCACCCCCAGGTGCCCCCCAGTGCCCGGGCTGGAAGCAGGTGCTCAAGGCATGTGTGCCAGTTGGGCAGAAGGGCCATACTTTATCCAGAGCGAGAGGGAAGCTTGCATTTCCCCCCAGAGCCTTGGGGGAGACAAGTCAGACAGACAGACAACACTTTCCTTGACCTTGGGGAAGGTAGGTGGGAAGGCACCGGGCTGATGACACTCCACTGGGGACAAGACCCTCTCATATCCAAGAGCCATACCTTAGCCTTTGAGTGGACTCAGGGTCACAGAGCACAGTGGAAAACGGCCAGATGACCCTTACCATCCAGAAGGCACTGTTTCCACCTGCCTCAGGCCATTGTCAACCCCAGGCCTCACTCTGCCCATTCCTCGGATGGGGAATCAGGGTCCAGAGAAGGAAGAGCTCTGCTTAGTGGCCCCCTTTGCTCAAAGCGGGGGGCAGGGGTGCTGTGGACACGGTCCCACACATGCAGCCGTGCCAAGGACAGAGTCCTGCTCTCCAGACCACAGTGAGGCCCCACCACCACTGCAGCAGGCAGGGGGACTGTGGGCAGGGGGCTTCCCAGAGGTGGCAACCTGGCCCCAACCCTTTCAGAGCCCCGGCCAGCTGCAGACCCCTGCTGCCAGCCACCGCTCTCCTGCACTTGGCTGTTTCTGAACAAACACACACACCCCCTGGGTTCTCAGTCATCGTCCTTCCTTGCTAGTGGCAGAGGCCAGAATGGGTGTGGGGCAACGGGTGTGGGTGATGGGGGCTGGGGCGCTGGACACCACCGCAGGGGTCTGATGTCCCCACTATGGGACCAAGTGCCATGTAAATGGGGGACTGGCTCAAGGCCACCGGGGGGCTCTCCGGACATGAGTTACCACCTAAGTTTGGGCGCTGGCCTCAGGAGGAGGGGTGGCCCTGGGGGCCGAGGCAAGGATCTGGGGATTTAGTGGAACGAGGTCAGTGGCTGCTTTAGGTGGCCAAGGGGCCTCCAGCCTCCAACTCCCCCTGCCAGCCCGCTCTCATCCCCATCCATGACTCCCCATCACTCAAGGCCCTTTCTCTGGCCCAAACTACTGCTCCCAACTCTCCCCTCCCCCACCCTAGAACGAACTCTGTCCACAAAACCCAAGACATTTTCCTTCCCTGTCATCGTGCCTAGGCGGCTTCTCTGTCCAGAGTAAGAATGCCAACTCGCCCAAGTCGCAGGCAGCACAGGCTTCTAGCTTCCTGTGCATTTGCTCTCATTCTTAAATGACCCTTCTGTCACTACACCTGTTTACCAGACAGGGCCCCCGAGGCTTAGAGAGGTAACTGGCCAACGGATAGTTTTGTGCAGAGCTGGGGTTTGAGCACACATCTGACTCCACCACGGCCTCTGCTGAGGGAAATTCTATCCACCTTGTGACACTCTGTCCAAATGTCACTTCCTCTGTGAAGTGCTCCCTGATTTCCCCAGATGGAATTTCTGTTCAATCCAGTCTCCACCCCACTCCCTGCAGGCTTTGAGCTTCTCCAAGGCTGGGACACAAAGCAGGGGCTCCTGCACAGGTGGGGCTTGGAAGCGGGGGCTCAGGTGACCCCTGGGCACATGGCCTCCTGCCCAGTCAGCTGAGCAGAGGGGGACTTCCCTTTCTCTCTGTGCCTCTGCAGTCAGGGACAGAAGGGCACTGAGGAGCAGAGGAGGTCACCCCGGGCATCTGCAAGGAGAGGGGAGGGGGGAGGCCTCAGGGCGGCCTGAGCCTTACTGGGCATTCGTACACGCCCATTTCTCACCGCAAGAACCCATTTCCTCACTGAGCCCTGTAGTCCTGCCAGCCCTCTTCACAGCTCAAGAAACTGAGGCACAGAAAAGAGAAGTGACTTGCCCAAAGTCTCAGTGCTTAAACCCAGATCCCTGGTCTCTCAGGCCAAGCCTGGATGGGGGCGGGGTAGCCAGAGGCCACTTCAAGGAAGGCGAGGGGCCCAGGAGGACCGAACTCCCAGCACACACCTGTGCACACTCCCGGTCTCAGCTTGAACCCATCCGCGCATGGGGAACTCACTACTCACTACTCTTCAGGAACTCACAACTTCCTGAGGAAGCCTTGTACGTTGTTATTCAGCCCTGACTGTGGGAAAAGTCTTCCCTATTCTGGGGCGGGTGGGAGGGGGGTGAGCAAAGGAACATGTGCTGCCTGATTTACCCTCAAGCTGATGGTAAAACTGAGGTTCAGCGGCAACACTACAGGACTCAAGCCAGCACCCAGGGGCACGGGGATTTGACCTCAGGTCTGCTGGATTCCAAGCACGGATTTGCTCAAACCCAGGAGGCCTGATCAAACTCAGCAGGGGTCCAGCTTTCCAGACTAGTCTTCCCATTTCCCAAGATAACCCAAGTCCCTGCTGGGCGCTACCAACTGTCTGCTCTCTCACTTGCGCTCGCTCGCGCTCTCTCTCTCTCTCTCCCTCGCCATTGACCAGGACTTTGGCCTCCCCAGGGCTCCTTCGAAGTCCTCCTCTTTCCAGGGAGTCCCGTCCCTAAGCTCCATCGCACCCAACCTGGCACCCAGCCTCGGAGGGAACTGTGCCCCCACCGGGCAGCCTTCCGGGTCACAGGCGCTTGCAACTGGGGATCCTGTTACTGGAAAAAAGAAAATGCTGTTCCCATCCTCCCCCTCCCCCCCCCCCCCCCCCCCCCCCCCCCCCCCCCCCGTCCTTCCTCCCGGCTTGAAAGAGAGAAACTTTTCCAAGGAGGTGGGCCCACCAAGGGGTCCCAGGCGGAATCAAAATGCCCCAGCTCGTTTGGCGTCAAGGACTCCTGGGAGAGGACCCTCTGAAGCCCAGCCACCGGTCCCTCCATCCAAGAGGGCGAGAAGCCCGTGAAGTCCCCGGAGAGAGATGGGGGGGGGGGCTGAGATGGGTGCCCTGCACGCCCCAGGCTGAGAGGCTGAAGTCCTCAAGGCAAGGTAAGGAAAAGCCAAGATCCACTCAAAATTACTTCATTGCCAGGCTGCTGAGTAAACTGAGGCACAGTGGTGCAGGGGGTGCAATCTTAGAAACGGAATCCCGGATTGCAAGTTCCCCTTTCTCTCCCCAAGGCGCAAGGGGAGAGGCTGGATCTTCGGATTCCCCAGGACGGTGGCGGATGAGGGAGAGGGTTGAGGTGAGGGGAGAGGGGGTGGGGATCAGGCGGACACGGTAAGAGGCAGCCAGAAAGGGCGATGGGGGGACCCGGCGGATAGACTGAAGGAGGATCCGGGGTCCCTGGCATTCCGCGCAGCAGGTGGTGAAGCGGCGGTAGAGGGGACCCAAGGGTCAGGGATCGGGGTGGCGCCTACCCCTGGCGGGCCGGGTCCGGCTGCGGGAGCGGCTCCTCTGTCGCTGCAGCCGGGGCCGCCGCAGCAGCCGGTAGTAGTAGGAGGGCCTCCCGGTGCTCTTCCTGGCGCTGCCGCCCGCGGACATGCTGCCGCCCGCCGGGCACCGGGCCGGGCCTGGGCGCGCTCACCAGGGCCCCATCGCCCGCTCCGGCCCGCCCGGCGGGCGTCCCTGCCTTCTCCGCGCGCGGGTGCGGGCGCCGCCGAGGCCACGGCTGCCCCACAAAGTCGCTCAAACTCCTCCTCCCGCCCCCGCCCTCCCCGAGCAGCCGGCCCCGCGGCGGGGGCCGGGGACCGGGAGGGAGGCCGGGCTGGCACCGGCCCGGAAAGTCAGTGCAGGAGAAATCCCGGCCTGGAATCGGTGGGGCGAGGCGGCCCGGAGTGCCCCGGGACCCCAGGCAGGCCCCCTGGAGGGTCACTGCCCGCGCCCCTCGCGCCTGAGAACAGTTGCCGGACCTCGCGACGCACCGGGCGCACCAGCTCGCCCGCGGGTGTAGACGGTGCACACCCGCGTGCGCGCGCTCCCGGACACCGGACAGGACGCACGCCGGGCGGCCAGGCAGGCTCCGGCGCGGCGAAACCGGTCACCTTCGATTAGGGTCCTAATGAGACTGACTGAGGCTTCAGGGCGCGTTTCTGCCCCAAGCTCACAGGGCGGGAGTGTGGGTCCACAAACACAGCGCGCGGCGAGCTCCAGGCCCGCCCTCGCTGGATTGAAAAGACACCGCTTTCACGCAGAGAACTTGCCTATTCTTTACAGTTTAAAAATGGTCCCGTTTGATACGCATGCTATTTGTGTATAATTACAATTGTGGTGTACCTCGCTCTCAAGCGCACAAAAAGCAGAGGGCGCATACCGAACACTCGTGTATCTCGCAGGCTTTGCCAAATCTCAACATTTTTGCCCCCTGTGATCTAGACCATCCGCCCAATTGCACCACCCCAGACGCTGTGAGATCTTCTTCCCGCTGAGCGTTCACAGCAGCTCTGGAAAGCCCGCAGAAGAATCCCGAAGCTCCCGGAGAGAGAGGTGCCGGCTTCTGCTACTGCCTTGTGCTGCAAAACTCCTCCAAGTCACTCCCCAACTCAAGAACTTTCCGTGGCTCCCCGAGTCCAAACAACCTTCCTTGGTATTTGAAGCTCCAACCGTTTGGCCTGAAACAAACCACTCTCCAGCTTCACCTACGCCCCCTCCTCACTCCTCTTTGCCCTACTCCCAAAAGGGTCTGCCTGGCCCCAAGGCCCTACTTCCTACTTCCGGGACCCAGATTCTCTAGCCTTCCCTGACCATCCTGCCCCGTGGCTGGCTCGGTCTCTCCCCTAACTAGTCCCTGGAGCTGGATTTGGCTTGTACATTATTCAAGCACCTGCCAGAGCTCCCTTCCCTTGAGGGGAACCTGAGTCCCTGCCCGGGAGGGCAGACTTGTCTCCGTCGCACAGAAAGGGGCAGAGGCAAGTGGCCTTAGCCCGGGGCCCCCAACATGTAGCCTTAGGGCGTCACACACGGGTGCGGGAGGCCGGCCAGACGGTCTCCAGAACAGCTGGAAAGGCGTGGCCCTGGAGGGGGCGGGGCAGTCTCGGCAGAAATCCAGGCCGGGTTTTGCACCTCGCAAAAGGAGCCCCCTCTCAAGCTCCCTCAGCCAGGGGGAGGGCCCCCAGGTCAGGAGGAGCCTGGATCACAGCTGGAAGCCAGGCGCCATCCCGGGGATCTGGGGGGAGGGGCAGGAGGGGTACTGCCCCTCCAAACCCCATCTGGGTCGCCTGTAGAACCCTTCCGGCCCCTCTCTGCAGAGCGCTGGCCAGTCCCTGGGGCAGATGGAGGACCAGAAGCGCCTGCAAGGATACCGTTAACGTCCTTTGGATTAAGCACTGGTCTAGCTCATTCTCAGTAGCGAACACGTCCCAGGAGCCTCTTCTGCAAGAGCAGAGGCCCCAGGGAAAGCTGTACCCAGTCCCTCGGTTCAGAGGCAAGCTGTGAGCCATCTTAGCATGCATCTTCCTCTGGCCCAGCCTCCCCACTCAGATGGGGCTCCCACAGACACCTACCCACACCTTGGCACTCAAAAGAATCACCTCCGCAGCCAGGCCCTCCAGTTTTGGGGGCTGGAGGGCTCCCAGGAAGTCCAGCTCAAGGTGAGGGCAACAGCCCTGTTCCCAGAGCTTCAAGTTCATCTGGCCCGGTTTCCTTCCTAAAGCAGGAATGCCCTGATCAATCAGGGGACGACAGGTTCCCTGCCAGTAGACTCTCAGTGGCTGAAGCAAGTGGTCTTAGCCTGGCCTCCCCAGCCGGCAGATTTAGGTGTGTGTGTGTGTGTGTGTGTGTGTGTGTGTGTGTGTGTGTCTGTGTGTGTGTGTCTGTGTGTCTGTGTCTGTGTGTCTGTGTATGTCTGTGTGTGTGTCTGTGTGTAGAGGGAGGGGGAAAGTGGCCAAGAGCACAGGACCTCATCTGTAAACAGTCTCTCTGCTTATACTTGGGCTTCTCAAGTCCCCTGTGCCTCAGTTTCCCTACCTGCAGGAAGAAGCTATGGGCCCCCACCCCCACCTATCTACCTTGTGGAGGGAAGAGGGTCAGCTATAGAAGAGGAAGAAGCTTCTGAGTTCCTGGCCTTTGACCATCTCTGCTCAAAGGAGGGTCTGGAGTAGGACCCAGCTGGGGGACTGAGTAGGCAGGGGACAGGGGAAGAGGTTGAAGACAAGGGGGGCCGGGGCTCCCTGCCCCTCCCTCCTGTTCTGGGACCCCCAGGGCAGCAAGCAGACAAAAGGCAGCTGCCTGCACACCCCAGCAGAGCATCTGGAATCAATCCTGCTGTGGAGCAAGCCCCCCACCCCCTTTCGCTGCCCCTGTGGCCTCCTCCCTTTAAATGTGAGCAGCCCCCTTTCTGGAGGCCACCTCGACAAGAGGAGGGGCACTTGAAAATGCCCTCCCTACCACCATTTCCTGCAACGTTCACCTCCAAGGGGAAGCCCTCTGTGATTGCCCTGGCCGGCACAGGCTCCCCAGGCCCTGCTGATCGGTGAGCCAGGGGCCCCCCCACCGCAGAGCCTGCAGTCTGTCAGTGGTCTCTTCTCCACCCCTGCCCTGACCGCAGAAGGCCTCCTGAATAGGCCCAGCTCCCACCTCCTCAACCTGCTGTTTGGGGTCGGGATCAAGGCTGCAGCCTTCACACCCCTGAGCTTCCAAAGCACCCCCAATTCACCAAACATGTATATTTCTGGGTTCCCCCGAAACACTTGATTCTGCGGTTCTAGATGGGGCCTGGGAACCCGCATGTTTAGTAAGTGCAGGCGGGTGGGGGACAGGGGCTGGCTAAATCAGCTCCAACCCCCCATCCCCCTCACCGGTCCTCAAAAGCCTCCAAAGGTAAACTCACAGAGTACTGAAAAGGACAGAGCTCAGTTGCAAAGCAGCCACATCCCCTAGTACCACACCAGCCTCTTATCTATCTGCTTCCCAAAGACCCCTGCTGCTTCCTGGCAGCCTCCCTCGGCATTGTTGATCAGATAGCTGCAGTGAAGCACTTCCCTCTGCATCTGGTGAGCTCTTCCTCACCCCTTAGGACCCAGCTCAAACATCACCCCATTAAAGCCATCTGAGCCCCAATGAAGAGACCTTCCCTACGCCCACTACACCCCATCACTTGGGTTGTATAATGAGGACACAGGAAAAGATCAGGAAAAGATGGGTCCAAAGAATTTCTCTCTGGGTACAGAACCATCAGCATCTGGGTGTCAGGAGAAGAATTTCACCCTGCGGGGAAGAGGCAGGGCAGTGGGTGACCATAGAGCTGGACTAGGAGTCCAGGTAAAGCACAGGCCAGGCAGGGGCCAGGTCAGGAGAGGCACCAGAGGCAGGGGAGGGGGCCAGCCCAGTGCAGTCTCCCCATCCCACTGTTAGGTTTCAAGTCGGTGAGGGAGGGGGCGCCTGGATGGCTCAGTCAGTTAAGCATCAGACTTCAGCTCAGGTCATGATCTTGCGGTTCGTGAGTTCCAGCCCCGTGTGGGCTGACAGCTCAGAGTCAGGAGCCCGCTTTGAATTCTGTGTCTCCCTCTCTCTCTCCCCCTCCCTTGCTCACCCTCTCTGTTTCTCTCTCACAAACAAACATTGTTTTTAAAAAAAAACTTTTTTAATAAAAAAATAAAATCAGCGCAGGAGGAACAAAAATGCATATTGTCAGAATTACCCCTGAAAAGGCTTACACTGCCCATAAAGGACAATTTTCCTCTAGTGTTAGGACAGAGGTGAGCATAAGGCAGAAGGGCCTGGCATTTATTGAGGGGCCATTCTGTGCAGGAGGAAAACAAGAGCAAGAAGCAGCAGCCATCTAACATTAGATTCCACCCAGGGTGGAGTGATGCTCACGCCCGAAGAGGACCACAAAAGTCCAAGACTTTCCGCAGAGGAGGGTTACGAGTTCGGTCTGGAAAGGTTTGTCTGAGGATGAAGTTTAGATTTAATACTAATAAACAGTAGTCAGCATTTACTGTGGGTCAAACCTGTCTGTGGCATTCCGTGCACATTATCTCCTTAAATTTCACAAACATCTTGAGGCAGGTGGCTACCGCCTTCATTTTACAGAAAATATTGCTGGCACAGAGAGGGTAAGTAAGTTCCCTGACGTCACACAGCTTGTGCTAAGGAGTCAGGATTGGAACCGAGGCAAGATGGAAAAAGCAAAGTTCTTAAGGTCAAGCAGGACTTAACCCAGAGACGGAGGAAGGTCAACGGCCTGGAACTTTTCATAAAAGCCAACTTTGACAAGGAACGGGAGGAGGCGAAGACCGTTGCAAGTCCTGACAGGGGAAGCACTGGAGCCCGCGCCAGGGCCCACACAATGGGTGTCTAGGGGGCTCAGACCTGTCAGGTTTCCTGTCTGGACGAGGGTAGGCAGCAGTGACCAGGGGAAGTCCTGGCCAGGCAGCTCCGCATGCATCCGCCTCCGGGCCAGCCTCAGGCTTCGAGGGGCTGAAGCCCCGGGCAGGGGTGGGGGTGGGGGTGCTGTAGGGGGCACTAACAGTTAAGGTCATGAGCCTCTGCTGGAAAGGTGGCCTGTCTGGGAAGCCATGACTGCCTCCTGCGTCTACTGTGCATCCAGGCTGGACCAGGAGTAAGATCTTCATCAGGACGCTGTGGAACAAGGGGTCCCCCCAAGCGGTGGAAGGAGGAAACAACGCCCGTGAGGTCACGCTCGGGGCCCAG